GAAAATTGGCAAGAGCACGTTGAAGTGGCAAATAACTAACCGCAAAGTGCAAAGGAAAAGTTGAAAATTACAAAAGCAGCACTGTGCCAACTATACTCTTGTACAGATATATAGATAGCCGCTGCTAAGTACTCAATTAAAATTGCAAGCAACAGCAAGATGAGGTTGTAAGTGGCCGACTGCTATACACACAGTGCAACCACGCAATCATACACACATACATATGCATATGTTAATGTACCTGTGTATATGCATACGTGCAGATGTAAATATTTGCACAAACAGATATGTGTGGGCCCTTTGTTTGCACAAAACTNGAAAAAAATTTTTTTCTATTTTTTTTGCGATGTTACTTTGACCAGGGTTTGAACCCAGGCTTTGCGGAGTGGAAGCGCGCACTGCTTACCACTACACCACAGCGTTATTTTTGGTTATTTTTTATCAATTGATAATTTTTTCTGCATTTGCATGGAGTCACTTCATATCACTTTGTATGCTACTTGGATATCTTCCATGGAAAATTGTGGTCAGTTGTAGTTTATTTTGTATAGCACATTGACAGGCAGGTATGCACATCCGTACATACATAAGTATTTAGCAATATAGCAGACAGCACACAGCTATGTAAATGGCAACTACAAAAACAATTTTGTGTTTGAAACTTTGTGCGGCAGGCCATGATGTGTACAAAAGCGACCACTGTGCCACCTTTCGCAGGCGAAAGTTGTTGAAAATTTATTTATTTACATAAATATTTGCATACTTATAATGTTTGTATACGAGTATTATCAGCTTTTAAGAGTGTAGGCTCTTTTTTAATTTTAGCTAAATAAAATTGATTCTAAAGAAATGGGTTAAATGCAACTTGCACTGTACTTTTAGCTAAATCCTTTTAATAAGTACACATTATAAATTTGAAGGTTTGGGTTCATTACCAGCATTTCGGCTACTACTAACATCAAGCGCCTAAGTGCATGCTATGCACTTCTGCAAGTGCAAAAATCTCCTTTATGAAATATATGAAATCTTCACATACATATGCACTTCTCAATTGCCATATAATAAAACTTTCTTAAGTAATAATTTGATGCCGCTTCAAGCGTTTGCGGACTTTGCATGACTTACAATCAGGCAGAGGTGATAATTGATGATTACACTGGCACACAGACAAAAAAAAAAAATGGTGTGTTCTTTTAACCAGACCCAGCCCTACCGACATGTATCTCGACTCACTGAATCCGAATCTGAGGTCCGTTTTACTCGTTCACCTCCTAAATTTCGAGTTAATTGCGCATTTTTTGCATTTTTTTCTGTTTTTCGTAATTGACGAGTCAAATGAACCTTATATCCGGACAAAAGCGGGTCGAAATACATGTCGGTAGGTGGCTCTGGTTAAATGAACATACCACTTTTTTTGTGTGCCGGTGTTACCATTGGCCAAAGTGCCTACCCACCATTTTTTGATTCAATAAATACTTTTTATGTAAATATATGCAAATATATATATATTCAAACTATTTATATAGAAATATTTTTAAAAAGGGTTGCCACCTGTTCAAAAGGGTTAATTTAATTTAACTAGCAAGTTGAAGTATTTGAATGTGGGTGCCAAACGAGAGAGATTTAAGAAAGCTGTATTCCGAACATACTTTTGATGAGGGTTGCCACCTTTTCTGAAATGAAAAATCAATTTAAATAACAAGTTAAATGAAATATTTGAAATATGGGTGTCAAACGAGAGAGATATAAGTGACCTTTATTTGTAAAATATTATTGAATAGGGTTGACAGCTGCTCAAAAAGGTAAAACAAAATTTTAAATTAAATTAAAATCAATTAAATTTTGAAGTTATTAGAAACCGTTTAATATACATAGGGGTCAATGGAAAATGATTTAAGAAGACTTTAGTTGGGTTTAGTTATTTATGAAAAAGGTTGCCATTTAGAAATAAAGAATCAATTTAATTAACAAGCTAAAGTAAACATTTTAGTATGGGTAACAAAGGATAGAGATTTGCTTATTGTTTTAAATGTAAAATTTAGCTCAGTTAATTGAAATATTACATCGTGGTATCTTCCATTTTACCCAAAATTTTTTTGAAAGCATTGCAAAAGCTAGTAGTTCCTATAAAGGAAATAGTCATATTGTTGCATTGTACGCATCTCTTTAACACCACATCTATTCAAAAGAATGCTGCACTTAACTATATTCGACTTTGTTGACTGCCTTCTTACACTCTGAAACATTTGTTAACAGTTTAGGTTATTTAATGAAAATTGATAGTTTAAGGCCCAAATTTAAGCTGCGGCCCGACTAACATACATATTCAGCCATATTTTATAGCCATAGCATAAGCTCCTGCAGTGAGTTGCATGCCACACATAGTTTATTGTAATTCCAGTCGCTTGTTTTTTGCTTCTTCACTGCAGCAGTTTTTATTAGCGCATTATTGTCATTTGCCGCCAATGAAGCTGCAACAATGGGCGCCCAATTTATATGCATTGCAACTGCAACTGCACTGTTTTTTTTTGTTTATGTGTTATTAAAGTACTCTCTATGCACTTTGTTGTTTGTTTGTTGTCTTAAATATAGCGGTTATTGTTGTTCAGTTAGTAGCATGCTGCTCTCCATTGCCTAAAAGTTGCTGACATGTGACCGCAGCGTATTGTTGTTTCTACGCCTTTTTGGGCTGATGCAGTTGGCTGGTCATTCACTTGTAGCACACGCGACCGTACGTGTATACCTACAGTGATTCAAACAAATAATGACGTGCTAATTTTTTTTTTTTTTAATATTCGTAATGTTTTTCGGGTAAATTTTTTTTGGTCTTTTCCTATAAAAATATTAGCCAAGCCTTAAGCAAAACCATATTAATCACAGTTTCAAACTTTATAAAAAGTTTAAGAAAACTCAACAAATTTTCATCAAAATTTCCACTTTCAAACGCAAAAACAGTCTCGAAAAAAAAATTCTCAAAAATCAACGGGATTTTTTAGCGCGTTGAAACTTGCACTTCTACTACTAAAATTGTATGGGCTCTAAAACTGCATACCCAAAATAGTTCTAAAGATGCACATTAAAAAGTTGAAATTTTTATGAAAATTTTTCGAATTTTTTTAAATTTTTTATAAAGTTTTAAACCGTGATTTATATGGTTTTGCTTGAAGCTTAGACAATATTTTTATGGAAAAATAACGAAAAAATAAAACCTCAAAAAAATTACGAATATTTAATAAAAATCAACACGTGGTCGTTTGTTTGAGTCACTGTGCATATGCAAATTATTGTGCAAATTTATGTATGTATGTACATAAGTTTGTTCTGCCCGTCGAGTACATTTCGCTTTTATGTAGCTTTGTGCGCCTGTAAATATACTATGCTTTGCTGTTCTCTGCTATTTTTTTTGCTGGAATTGGTTGCATCATTGAAGCATAAAGTTCAGAAACTCTCTAAAGGCACTTAATTGTGTTGTTTCTTTTATCCGACTGCTTTTGTTTGTTTTAAATTTAGAACATTTTCTAAACAAAAAACAAAACAAAAAAAATATTTGTGGCAACAACAACGCAGCTTTGAAAGCCTTTACGGTTTTGAGTTCTTAGTTTTGCACTTGCTTTTTGAAAGTTTTGCCTTCAAAGAAGAGTATCTGAGTAGCACTCATTGGCTATTTTGCCACTTTTGAAGCGCTTAGAATTTTAATTTCAATTCAAGTTCAACATGGCCTTCAGCGTTTATACATAGGCTCAGATTCAAGTTGAAGTGACTACCTTAACCAATTATGTTTGCTTAGAATTGTGTTTTTGCGAATCCAGACAACCGCTCCAACAAAATCTTGCTTAATTCGTTGAGATGCTCCACTCTTTCAGAGAACCCAAAGTGAATGGCCCTAAGTGTGAAAAAAAATGCAATTAAGAGATCTCTTAACTTTAAGTTTTAATAACAGAACTTTGAGATGCCCACATAAGTATCCTCTATTTAAGTATATACATATCGCACACCTAGAGCTAGTGAGCTAACTCAAAATTAAGATCCGGATATATATATCACTGCTTCTGGTTCGTACAGATTCAACGCAATTTATATAAAAACAGGCATAATCGTAGTTTTTTTTAGTTAGTGTATATGAGCAAATCTCACGAGTTGTTTCAATTTTCGACAAAACCGTGTTTTTTGGTCGAAAATGGTGGCACACTTACCTTAAACAGTGCAATAACTTCAGTTTTGCATAAAGAACAAGATTTCATTGCGAATTTGTATTTAAATGGAAGCTTAATAAAGATAAACAAAACAAGTTAAAATAACAACTGGTGTGTTCATATGTACATATACCTGTAGTTGAGTCTGTAACGTATACGCCCCGTAGCACCGTACACAGCCGGCTAACACGTTTACTCGCAAAAGAAAATTTTCAATGCATAATGTCAACATTTGGAAGTATCTTAAACTTGTAAAATTAAAATGTCGTTATATCAAAAATTACCAAATAGCGCTGCCATTTTTTTTTTTAAATTTGGTGGCACACTTTTGAAAATTCACAGGTATGCTGTATTTAGTGCCAACTTTCATTGCCTCTTATATGAACATTCCATCTGAAAACTTCCCAAAGTTATAAAAAAAAAAAATAATTTCGAGTTATAATAAAAAAATTAGTAACTTCGGTACTTATTCACCTAAATAAATGTGTTAAGTCTTAAAGTGTTTAAATCCATTGATTGAAATAAATGCAAGAAAAATGCTTCAGCGTTTTTTTCTGGCGAGAAAAAACAACTCGTGGGATTTGCTCATATAATAATGAAGGAAAAAATATATATGCATTAATTGTCCTATGAATTGATTTATGCAAGAAAAATTGCCCAATTTGTTTTTCTTAGTTGATCGCTGTTTACATCTTGGTGTGCGATATGTAGTATTTGTGTTTATATATGTATAAATTCATGTGTAATTAAAACAAATTCGTCATCCTTTAAAAAAGTCTCTTTAACACTATTGACAATTACACACAGAAACACCGCAGCCCTCCCAGCATTGCCCGCGCAAGAACGGCTATTTCGGTCACGAGGAGGATGGTGTCTGCGATAAATTCTACTACTGCGTCGATGGACAATTCAATATGATTACCTGCCCAGCGGGTTTGGTATTCAATCCCAAAACCGGCATCTGCACTTGGCCCGATGAAGTGGGCATTAAGGGTTGCAAGTCGCAGGATATATTTGAATTCAAGTGCCCCAAAGTGAATGAGTCGGTGGCGGTTACACATCCTCGTTACGCCGATCCCGATGAATGTCAATTCTTCTATGTCTGTGTGAATGGCGACGTACCGCGCCGCAACGGTTGCAAGTTGGGCCAGGTGTTTGACGATGATAAGAAACACTGCGACTGGGCGCGTAATGTGCCCGAGTGGTAAGTAGACCGAGCGAAGGTGAGAAAAAAGCTAAGTAGTAAATACAGCTTTTTCCCCAATATTTTATAGTGGATTTTTAATTAAATGGTTACTAATATCATTTTCATCCCACAGCGCCGATTGGTATCAGGGTCGCTTGACCGACGCTGAATTGGAGGAGTTGGAAAATCCTAAGCCCAAGGTAAAGAAGGCACAACGCACGCGTGGTCCATCACGACGAAAGCCTGCCAAGGCGCCTGTAGAGGAGGAAATCGTGGAGGAGTAGTGCTAACTGAGAGCAGGAAGATTCAACAGCTGCGCGCTTAGCTTTAAGTTTTATTTTTTTGTTTGTTTTGCAGTTGATCGAAATTCTCAAATAAAAGCACACGACAAAATGTTGCTAATAAAATGAAACGCGCTATGTGCTGGTTGATCACTCATTCGCAAGAAATCGTTAAAAATAAATGGGTATTAAGAACGCGTTCTAGCGCCTATATATATTTAGAGATATGTATGTTTGTACATCAGACTGCATCACCAAAAAAAGTTGCGGGTTTTCCGGCGGGATTACATAATGTATTATATTTGAAGACCTCCACCAAAGTTTCTCGGAAAATTATTAATATTAGCGTGAGCTGGACCGATTTGAAAATACCTCTAAAAATGGAGTTTTTATGAATAAAAATAGTTTCTTCAAGAACTTTTTGAAAAAAATCCCCTCAGATGACAAAACAGATTAAGCTTAAGAAATCTGCATACAAATATTTAAAAATGTTTTCAACGTAATAGTAATAATGAGATTTTTAATGCTGTTTTTCAACTTTTTTCAAAGATTGGCATATTGGTAGGTATTTTCGAATCGGTCCAGCTCACGTAAATCTTAATATTTTTCGGAAATATTTTGGTGGACGTCTTAAAATATAATAGATTTTATAATTCCAATGGAAATACAGTACCGATTTTTTATTTTTTTTTTTTGTATGGGGGGTGATGCAGTCTAATGTACATACATACATATGTAGCAATACTTGTGTAGTGTGCGGAACATATGGACGTACATGTGTACGTTTTTTATTGAGTTTACGCTGGTGTCAAGTTATTTTATATGGCTTCCGATAAATTGCAAAATTTTTATGTAATCGTAAACTTCGCACTTTTGAATATCGTAGACGCGCCTTTCTTTGCAATTTGTTGACATCCTAGTGAAATGATTGGTTTTTGGAAGACTGCATGTTTGTCTGCTAAAAATTTCTTTTATGTAGTTTCTCAAAACAAAATGGATTATCAGAGAAACCTTTCGGAAATAGCACTCCTTTTTCTGTAAGTGGAATTTGGAGTATTTCAACAAATGCTTTCCACGATACTTATCCCAAATCCTACACTGTAAGGTGAAAAGCGAGAAAGGAATGAATAGCAGAAATAAACTCAACGATCTTTGTTATGAAGAAATATTCACATTGAATACTGAGCTTATAAACTATAAATTTAGGAGGAGGTCCTAGAGCAGTGTTGCCAGGCCTTCGGCATGAAAAAACGTCCCTTTTGGTCTGAAAAAACGTTATTTCCTACCCCAAAACGTCTTTTTCAAATATATGCACAGAGAATTGCTCTTATTAAACTTTTATTGTATACAAAGGTACATAGGTATTTACGTAAAGTAAAATTCATTGTAAACTGCTTTGAGATCGTTATATAATAACCTCCTCCTTTTTTGGAAGTCGGTTAAAATCATTTTATACATACACTTTTGTTTATTTAATCTTTATTATTTTTCCATAAAAGCCTAGCTTTTTATATAGCAAACAAAATATAAATCCACATTTCAAACTTTGTGCAAAAATTTATAGAAAATCTGCAAAATTTCAGCTAGATTTTCACCTTTGTGTTCAGATTTTGAAGAATTTTTTTGAGTATGCTATCAAGCCTATTAAATTTCGAGATAATAATGTGCAAGTTTAAAGGAGCTAAATAATCGTGTTGATTTTTAATAGTTTTTTTTTCTTGTAGCATTTGGTTAGGCAATCGGTTGTCGAAAATGCTAAATTACGGTCTGCTAAGAAGGCACATAGCAATATTTCACCCGTTTTTGCGTTCATTACGTTTTCACGGCAGTCTTATAAAAGTCGCCTACTTTTTTCTGACTTTTTATGCTGCTACAGCTTTTTTGGTGCTTTTGCGAGCATGCGTGTTGCAATAGATCAGCTCTTCCTGATTTGGCTTTTAATGTGCAATTGCAAACATTGCAATAAGCCTCGTAACCTCGAGGGTTTACAAAACCAGCATTTGAACGCGAGATCCTTAGTCCAAGAATCCAAAAAAATGCGCGTACGCTTGGTTTGCATCATAGTTAAGTCATCTGTGTCAAAAGAATAAATATATTTAGTAGAAAAGTGCTACGAAAAAAAAACTTGTAAAGATTTGTTAAGAAAATAATTCAAAATTAGTTCTACTTACAAGATTTAGTAACAGAGAAAAATTACTGGGAAGTTAAAAAACGTAATTTTTACACAAAAAACGTCCGAACGTCAACAGGATACAAAAAACGTCCAAATGACGTTAAAAACGTCAACCTGGCAACGCTGTCCTAGAGTATCACTTGCCTTTTTCCATAATTTTTGCATGGGGTAATCTCAACGGCCGCTGTGGTGTAGTGGTAAGCAGTGCGCGCTTCCACTCCACAATGCCTGGGTTCAAACCCTGATCAAAGCAACATCGCAAAAATATAGAAAAAAGGTTTTTTCTTAACAGCGGTCGTCCCTCGGCAGGCAATGGAAAACCTCCGAGTGTACTTATGCTATGAAAAACAGCTTCTCATAAAAATACAACCGCCGTTCGGAGTCGGCGTTAAACTGTAGGTCCCTCCGCTTTGTATGACAACATCAAGGCGCATGCCACAAATCGGAGGAGAAGCTCGGCTAAACACTAACATACGTGTAAGCGCCAATCTATTATTATTATTATTATTATAATCTCAACGATGGGGATACTACTGTTAGCTAGATAAATCAGACCAAAGCCTGTGAGTCATGGCGGCTATCTTAGAGGGGAGCTCTCTCGGCAAAAAAAAAACCTTTTAAACATTCGCATATGCATTTTAAGAAATGTGAAATTAAAGCTCAATTAAATGCCTATTTTAAAGAAAAACCAGCGTCTATCGATGAAACCCCCATCGATTGGTGGAAAACTAAGCTAAAATATTACAAAGTGTCGAATCTGGCAAGCAAATAATTGAGGTTCCACATGTTCAGTGTAGCCAGCCTCTTATTCGGCATTCGCAAATGTGAAATATATGACATATGTACGTTTATTTATTTATTTTTTCTACGAGAAGCATGCATAGAAACAGGTCAGTGTGGAACTTTAACTCGAACTCAACCTTCTACTGTCCAAGTACCGATCGCCGCGATACCACCGCCAAGCATATCGTCGGGACGGGGTTTGAGCACTAGGCTTGAACGTTCGTTCCAGTCGGATGTACTCATCCCTGGGCTGCACATAGTAGAGAAAGGCCTTTTGTAAACTATTTAATTATCTCTTAGATATAAATACAGCTTATAATTTCGCTCTTATAAACAGGAGGAACAAATGCCTTAAAACAAAATGTATGTATTTCACGCTGGTGTTGCATTGAGCAGACTTACAGAACAGACGAGTTTCAAGCCCGTATACGTATGTATGTATACTGCCTTTGCGGTTGAAATGGCCTAGGCTCCAACCCGCGCCTACGTTTTGCGTGCACGAATTTGGAGACCGCTTGCCCTTGGCGTCTGGAAATACCTATGTTTCAGTCAGCTCTTTCGCTTGAAATGGTGTATTTCATCTTTAATAAGCGGTCTGAAAGCACAGTTATCTAACCCGCACTGTCTTAGCGGTTGGAATGATCTACATAGGCTCCAATCTGCAGCGCATCTGCTCTTCAGGTGCACGAATCTCAAAACCGCACTTCCTTGGCGGCTGGAATGGCCTAGGTTCCAGTTCGTGCCTACACTTTCGCTGGGGAACTTGATGATTTGGTTGCAATCCGCGGCTACGCTTCGGGTTGGTTTATTCACGAGTGATACGCCACTATCTCTCTAGGCTCCTCAGTTGCATTAGAATTGAAGTTAGTGTGTCGCGGGGGCATGCCCATTCACTGGCTCCTTTCATCATGTAGTCGACTACTTACTGCGCCGCTCCAACGGCTAGTCTCAGTTGGTTCATCTGCCGACTGAATCGAGGGCACTCAAAGAACACGCAGCGGACGTCTTCTTTCCCGCCATTTCTAATGTGCTATTGTTTCAGTTTAAACAGGTATGCCTAAAACAGCCATGCCCGCTCAAGAACTGGCTCAGACAAAAATCTACTTCGCCATGCCTCCTACTAATCCATGATACCATGGTACCAGATTTGGTATACAGCGATAAGTCCAACGACCCTTAGTCGTACTATTCCACTTGCTTTGCCACTCCGTAAAGCTGCTTTCCCGAATTCGACGTCAGTCTATTTGAGTTAGGGAACGCGGGCCGGATGCAATGAGCGTCGATTCTCTCGCCAGAATATCTACGGGTTTCATGCTGGCGATTACGAAAACTGCCACGTCTGACACTGCTCTGAAGGCGCTACAAACTCTGAGCGCACACAAGCGGTATGTTGAGTAAACTCCACGGAAGTATGCTGTGCCGCATTTGACCAAATCGGGGCCGGGTACAGTACTTGGCTTTTAACCACACTCGCTAAGAGTAGACGCCAGCGCGTCCCAATGACCAAAGATGCCAGCACTCTTCGAAGGTAAATTGGAAAGGCATCGTTACCATGTGAGTGCGGTAATTTTCGAGGTTGCCGAAAGGTTGATGGCTGCTTATGCAGAAACGCTCTCTCCTTGCAACTCCATTTTCGTGGGATGTATGCCTAAGACATGCGTGCTTTTTATGTGCCGAGCCCTTGAAAAGCCTTATCCTATGGCTGAGATGTATGATGTGTCAGTGAATTGGCTAAGTATTGACTAAGTTTTCCATGCAATAAAGTACACCTGGCTTGGTCACACTATTTTTTTATTGGCGATGGAACCCAATTTGAATGTCTTACAAACCAGGAGATCTTAGAACAATCTCAGATGATCTGCATACTCGCTTACGATGTAATTCCAATATTGGAAGCATCGCTCCGTTATAATTCCGCATAAGATAAAACGTACTATGTAGTACTTTTCATCCACCCCACCACCTGTGTATAGTTTGCAAAAATCAACCATGTTTCTGAAATGAAATAAAATGTCACAATCTAAATAAAATTTTTGTTGAAGCATATCGATACTTTTTTTGTGTACGAAAAAAATTAAAAAGTGTATTAACTAAATAAAATCCAAAATGTTCGATCAATGTATGGGCGATTGTTATAATAATCAAAATTATTATTGTGGTAGTCCCGCAATTGGGCAATGGTGGTACGACAATAGTTACTACGGACCTTGGTATACCCATTATCCTTTCGATAATTGGAATTGGTACTGCAGTTTCAATAACTACGGAGAAGGACATCGCGCTGATTTTCATTGTCCAAATAAGTCACCTAAATGTAATATAAACCACGAAAATAAGAGGTATGAACGTCACTTAAGCGAACACTACGCGAATCTTGAAAGTGCGGAGCCTTTGAGGAAATCTTTGAAGATCGATTGCTTCGCCACAGAAACGGGGGCACGTAAAACACAATCTGAATTACTAAAGGGCAGCTCCAGGTGCTCGCTAAAAAAATCGACCCCACGACGTAGAAACTGCAACAGAAGTAGAAAAAGCAAGCTTAGCGCAACGTCACAAAGTACTACAACATTTGAAAATTTGTTGGGTAAACTGGGCATGCAAATCTGTTCGAATGGAGGCACGTTAGCCTACATTCTATTAGAATCGGACGCAAGCAAGAAGGATGAGCAAAGCTGTGGCGACAACGCCAATGTGAAACCGAGCAGGAGCTACTCAACACAGCCAACGCATGAGCTAAAGAGTCAGTTCATAGATGAATTCCATCGCCAGCTAAATGAAACTGGATCGTTGGATTCAACGTCGGCGCATAAGCGATTTATAAAAAATTTTAATAAAATGTACGCTGATCTAGGTGGCAGTTTAAGATTCGGTGTGAAACGAACCACTGTGCATAGCTCGGCAGAAAAATGTGAACGCAAAATGGCGCAACCGAGCCAGCACTCCACCACAAAAGTCAAAGGAGAAAAATCTGATAAAATCATAAGGAAAAAGGAAAGTGTGCATCGAAAGGAAGCTACGATCGGAAATAGGGCAGTAAATAAAGAAAATCGCTGTAGTACAGAACCCCTAATAAACAAAGGGAGTAGGTTAAAAAAACCTAAACAATACGGTAAACAGGCGAAACTAAATAAAGAAAAAGAAGAAAATCTAGGAACATCAGCCTTTGAAACGCCGAGGAAAATGAAAATCGAAAACTTATCTAGCAAAACTGAATATAAGAGCATCTCCAACACGCGCAAGCCAAGTGAACAGAAGTGCAGTACGTTAGCGTCCAGGAAAAATATGACTCAAGCAAGTAGCTCACCACCCAAACGATGGCGAATATAGGACCATTGTGGAACTACAACTGATGTTAGCAGTTATTATTTTGTAATAATGAATATAAAAAAATGTGCGTGAGAATTTAAAGTGATTGTTTAATCATCCATTACTTTAGCATTGGATAATTCAACAAACACTTTGAGAAGTCACAGATAAATTTATGTAAGTGCAACGAAATTTACTAGTAGGAATAATTGTATTTTTTGTTAGTAATTCTTCTCGATGTTTTATACATAATTAAAGCGTGCAAAATAGATATTTAAAATAAAATATCCTCATTTAATTATATAATAGAAAAATTCAGTTCTTAATTTCATAGGGTATAGAAGAAGATTTTTAGTGCATAAATAATTGTGCATAGGTACTTACAAGTGAAAAAATAATCAATGTTTTTCAGAAATGCCTCACAGCTGTTCTATGTGCTACAGGGATACACTCAATATGTATGGAAAAAGCTTTAAACGTTCTCGGACAAAACCAGCAAGAAAAGCTATATTTAAATGTGGTGAGTAGAGTTTTAAATTCTCTACTAGTAGATATATTTTGTTACTGCTCTTTAGCAAGTGAGAACTGACAAAACGAGTTGAGAATGAATACGGTAAGTCACCGTATTATCTGTTATATTTTTTAGAAAAAGTTAACAGCGCCCGTAACGCAAATACAAAAAAAAAAAGTAACTAGTTGAGCATATGCGGCGGAAAAGAGTATGTATATATATAGTATATTGTAATTGATTGTGTATTAAATTTTAATTGTAATAAATAAATTGTTTTGGTGTTGGATTGATTGGAAGGCGCCCATAAAGCAAAAATTTTCCGCAATCAAAAGGTTTCGAAACCAGACGGGAAATCTTCCAAGCTGTTCAGGACCAAAATGGTTAACTTCATGTTTTTGATGGTGATGGCAAAACTTTGGAGGGTGGATTCGATATACCTCTTGTAATTATAATATATATTCCTTTGATTAATTTTTCTCTGAACAACAATCTTAAAATTTAGCTGGCGCTCGATGATGATATTATATGTATGGAAGAGGAGTACCTGAATCAGGATGTCATTGAGCTATCCGGCAGCAAAACCCCCTGCTCCAAAAACAAAATCCCGATAAACACGCCACGGCGGAAAATAGCTAAAAATTCGCAGCACAGCAAGGAACCACTGTATTCATAGCTACAGAAGGCAAACAAAGATCTTCAAGCTCGCCTTTCCATTCTCAGGAGAGGTACATGAATGCGTGCTGGAAAAAATTTAAAAAATTGTAACAAATAAAAATTCCAAAATAATATATGTATATTTAAAGTCTTTTATTGTTTAGTACACACATTAAACAGATGGACAACTATTCAATAGATACAAAGTGAAGAACACAATATTAAAAACTTGCGGCATTAAATTTTACACAAAAAAGAAATACATTCGCGAAACTAATGAACAAATGCAGCTAAACTGCATTTTTAGTTTTTCTCTTCGATGCCAGGATTTTTTTAAACACTTTGAAAATTAAAAAATAGGGTTGCTTATAAAAATTATTTAAAAAATTCAGTCCATTGTTAAATAAAAGTTTGTGTATCAAATAAAAGAAAATGTTCTTTTAAAATTTTAATCCTTTAACGTGTTTGAAAATTTCCAATAATTACATGGGTCGAAAAAATTATAACCGCAAGTTGCCAAGCTTTAACATATTAGTTTTGTTTTTGTTTTAAAAAAGTTTCAAACTTTGCGCAATGTCTTAAAAAATGCAACAAACTTTCTTGCTTTTATAATTAGATTTCCTATAGAGATTCTGAGTGTGCAGTTTTGTAGCCCATTAAAATTCTAGAAGAATAAAGTGCATGTTTCTAATGGCTAAAAAATACCGTGGATTTTTTTAGATATTTTGTCGTAGATGTTACGGTTTTCCAAACCGATATTGCGATTTTCTAGCGGCTTTAAACTTGCATTTTGTCATACTAAAATTGAATGGACTATACAACTGCATACTTAGAATTTTTCTAAAAGATCTGAATAGAAAGTTGCAAATTAGTATGCAAATTTATTGAATTTTCCTGAGTTTTGCACAAAGTGTAGAGATTTTATTTTTATGTTTTTTTTTTTTGTGGTGTAAATGAACTATATTTTTATAAAAAAAATTATCGAAAATAAATTAGAATAAAAAACTTTCCATATACATACATATTGCGTAAAATTCACTGTGCCAATACTTTAGTTCGCCACTGTATGTATTTCATACAATTTCTGCTCTCATAAGCATTATAGAACCAGCAAATAATGGCGTAACCATAAGTCTTGGGATAAGCAAGCAAATACTTTTTTCAGCACGCCGTTTAGTCGTTATTAAGAATTGCTAAATCATAGTCACAAATAAGCTGTATATTCTTTGAAAAAAAAAAACAGTCTAGTACCGTTTTTGTGAATGTATTGTGTACGTGAGTGCCATTTTTGTGTATGTGTTGTGTACATGCATGTTTATTTATAAACGTATGTGTTCCTTTTCTTTCGTACGTGTTTATTGATGTAATGTAATATTTTCGGACGGTACTACCTCTTACTGCCAATATAAGAGTATTACATATATAGCTTAAACCGTTTTGTCATTTGAGGGGATTTTTAAAAAAGAATCTTTAAGAAACCATTTTTATTCATAAAAAAAAAACAATTTTTGTAGGTATTTTCAAATCGGTCCAGCTCACGTAAATCTTAATATTTTTCCGAAATATTTTCGTGGTCGTCTTAAAATATAATAGATTTTATAATTCCAATGGAAAAAGAGTACCGTTTTTTTTTTTTTTTTGTATAAGGAGTGAGGCAGTCTAATGTACATACATATATAAGTAATATTCCATACCTGATGCCTTCTTGGTGTAATTTCAAAGTGGAAATAAGCATATCTAACTATTGCTGTTCGAATATTTAATTTAATGTTTACATAGGAGTACCTATGCGTACTTGATGTATAAGTAACACATTCTACTCATGAATCATTTCAACACTGCTTGAATAAATCACGCTCATTTTAAGCAAGCATGTCATAGAGTAAATATGATTGGAAACGTAGATCGACAAGTTTGCCATTCGACCTGCATACCTTCAATTCTATAGACTCCACCACTTATGAATACGAGTCCATACAAACTTCAGTCACATGCCTATGTATGTACATTAGGGTGGTCCAAAATAAGTAAAGTCGGAAATTTAATGCTCTCAACCCCTAGGATTGTTCTATATTGAAAAATGATATCCTTATTTTTTTTTTATTTTATATTTAGAGGTCGCTCAAAGCGCTCAAAGTTTTGCATGTAAAAACCCACTTTTCGTAGAAATGGTATGGAATTCTTAAAAATCAATATTTTTCAATCGAAAAAAACTCTGGTTCACTTCAGGGGGCTTTCAATAACAATACGCAATTGTTTATTTAACCATTTTTTAATTCCAAAGATTTTTCATTGATTTTCATTTGTGCGCTTTGAGCGACCTCTTACGTATTTTTTGATTTCAAAATAATAAATATAGTGGTAAATTTTTTCGGTATAGAACAATCCTAGGGGGTGAGAGCATACAAATTCCGACTTTACTTTTTCATATGAATTTTTGGACCACCTTAATGTACATACATGTGTGCAAATTCCCATATGCTCTTTGTTTCACTTGCGCTCAATTAATGATGAGTTGGCAATTTCTGCCAATTTTCAACTAAATTTCACATAATGAAAAGAAAACCCAACTTCAAGCAGAGAAACTAGTTACATAATAGGCCCTACACACGCATTGATTTATCGGCCAACCAGTTGACCAACCTACTTAACGAAATTCCCTACAAACTTGGTGCGGACCAGTTGGCCGATTTCATTTGAGTGATAGTTTTTGAACTGTGAACAACACAACAGCCCTGGTAAACTTTTAGGCTATGCTAGGAATGCTTCTCATTTTTATGTATTTGTTATTGCTACCGCCCCCGTTTTCATAAATTATACGCATTATCACTAGAGAAACGAACTGAGAAACACATGTTAACGTTAATGCGCCTTTAAAAAAATTACATCGCATTTTAGGTTGCCAACTTGTCTACAGACGGAGCAACAAATTTACCAACCTGCCTCAAAACTCAAAAATTTTTGATTTTTCTCCAATCTGACGAACAACTTGACGAAGGTTTGCCAACTTGCCTACAAACGGCTTATTTACCACCAACTGATTGGCCGATAAATCAATGCGTGTGTAAGGCCTTTAACGTTCAGGGTGATTACGTAATATGTATACCACTTGCAAGCAATGCGGTAAAACGGCGGGCAGCAAGGTAGAGCAGATGAATTAAATGGTAAGCTTTTCATTGTCAATTCAACAGCTTGGTAAATTGAACAGTTTCAAGTGCGCATTTGAGTTGCATAAGTTCTGGAAGAGGCTTCGACGTATGTATGTACTTATGTAGGTATATATTGTGGAAATTTATATACATACTTATCTGTGTTCGTATGGAAAAGTAGCTTATGTCGAAAGGTTGGCTTTAGTATAATGCGGCAATCCCTTTATTTTTTAAACGGCAAGGAATTTTTTGATGAGACTTAATAAGAATATTGACTTGCTAGTATCGGAACTATTTCTTCCACGTTTATTTGCTAAAAGTTGTTCAACGGCTTACCGCCAGTGAGTCATTCGCAATCGTATGCTGCGAATGCCGATTTATACTAAAGCCAGCCTTTCGACATAAGCTACTTTTCCATATGAACACAGATTTGTACGACAGGTTGAATGTCTTTTTTATCTACATATACGTACATATGTACGTATGTCTGCTTAATCTTTATGGTTCAATAACTTCAGTATGTCCTGGCAGACTGGCCTGGACCACCACATAAAAGCTTTCTGTCTGTATATGAGTGTGTATGTATGTACATATGTATGCATGAATGTGCACTACTATGCATACTTACGCTCTAACCACTCAATAAAATACTACATGTGCGCTGAAATAACCTTGAAACAACGAGAAAACTTAATTTATTTTCGCCAAATGAACACTATTCAGACTTAGAATTATGCAAAATCGACAGTTTTACTCAAATTATGACATATTCCTACACACTCACATTTTCATACAAATGTATGTACATTAAGGCGGGGCAATTCGTATGGGAGATTTTTTTCGACTATGCGCGTATACCACATAATGATTCTGCGTGTAATTCTAAGTTTTTCGAAGAAACCGTGGGTCTGAAATCAATTTGGAGTTTGCCAAATTTGCGAAA